ATTCAAGGTGTATGGGCTTTGCACGTAGTGCTCGGGCTTGGATAGAAAAACACAGGCTTAGGAATGAAATCACCAAGCTTCTATCTAACAGGGAAAAGCAAACAATCCTGATAGCATGCAGCTCCGTGTATGTCCGAGTGGTTCCCGCTCGCCCGTAGATGTCCAAAAGCTCAGCAACCCGGAGAGGAAGAGGAATCAAGATGACTCTATCAGACGTAGTTCTTGGGTCATGGGTCCTCTCAATCGTTTGGCCATCCTCGGTCTTGTCCATCGATTCGAAGCTGACATGGCTATTGTTAGTTGATTTGGCTAGAAATGACGGGATTTTTGCCTCACCTTCTCCATGCAAGCAGTCTCGACTAACAACCTCGCCAGTACGAAAATATGGCTCTAGCTAGACAAAGCATTGGCTGCGTTGGCTTCTCCCGGTTTCTTAGGGGTTTCAGGCTCAAAAGACGCTAGACGCCATCCAAGAACAACGATGGCCACCCACTGGACGTCGGGGAGCCAAGCCGCAAGTAGGCTATCCCCTGTGGGTGTTCGAATGCCGAGAGACAGACACTGCTATGAGCTCTGTTGGGTCTACATCAGGTAGGCATACCAACGCATGATCTGATGGACCAAATCGACTGGGAGATGGTTGAGGTAGCGACTCGTCGATGCCACCAGAAGTCATGTGGAAAAACAGAGCACACCATGGTATTGGTGTAGGGAAGGTCGAGTAGATAAGAGATTTGCTCGCTTGCATTCGAGTGATGGGATCTGAGGGTGTCTTCCTGTGGTGAGACCCGAGTCAGCAAGTGTTGATCCAGTTGGACATGGTGTTGTACTTTATGCCGTTCGTGAAGAATCCGAGTGTATGCTTGTCCGATGGTCAATTAGGATCGTCATCATACCAGCTTACCAACTAGACCACCGCCAATTCAGTTCGGCAATGCAGTCACCGATATGCCATGTTGACATGATGTTGAATCCAAGTTCGTCGCACTCTCTGGCTGTCGCTTCAGAAGCCGCGATGGATGAACCAACAAGTTCACAGGACGGCAAAGGTGCATGACGAACTCACGTGTGACAAGAAATTGTACAGTCGTATTGGGAAACTGCTGCTCGTAGGCGGCGAGAGGTTGAGGCACTCCACCGTTCAGTGTGAAGGCGGTGAGGAGGGGGAAGACGCGATGGCGCGTCGGCCCCTTGGTCTTGTCTGACTCGGCCGGAATAGGTAACTCGACACAAGACTTTCGCGGTTGGCGGTGGACTGCTCCTACAACGGCAAAGAGATCAGCAGTGTTTGTGTTTGAGGCACAGACTCGGCACATATTATCGGACCCGGCGCAGCAGAAGGAGCGATATTCCACATACCTCGTCGTGGACAACGAACGTCTTGAAGCTTATGCGTCCTGTTGTTGGCCCGCGCCTTTGATTTGCAGTATTTCACATAGGACATGCTGCATGGTTTGATGTGGCAGGGCCAGAAATGGTGTATAAGCCATGACTTTGCGCGGAGCACTGACGGCGCCGCTGGTTCGGACTCACATTAGGGCGCGGTCAACGGTTTCCTGTCCACCATTAGCTTGTCGATCGGCGAGACAATGCAGGACTCACATGTTCTGAAAGGAGACACGGGAAAGGGCTCCGTGGCTTTGCGCGTCGTGCATTGGATGGAATGCAAGGATCCGGTTGTTTCATATCGTCTCTGAAGTCAGTCCAGTCTCGGAAAGGGTCGCGCTGAAATCTACATACCTGTATAGGAATTCCCCTTTTGCGTCGATATATTCAGGGGCGGGACAGTGGTCCGCTGCTATGGTGGACAGATGTTCGCATACTTTGACCAGCTAACCCAAATCTCCTTTTTTGATCGGCTGGCATGGGGCTGATGGGAATCTCATTCTCATATGCACTTTCTAGCTTATCAGTCCACAACGTAATTACAGTATAGATGTCAGTACAGTGGAAATTCCAGTAGGTCAAAGGGAAGAACTTATCAGGTGCCTCGAACCGAAGGCCTGCTCGACTTTGCGCAGCAAGCGATAGAATTATAGAACAAATTGCTGGAGGGAGAAGACGTATTTATAGATTTCTTGGCTCCTGTCGCGTACGTGCTCTGCTAGGTAGCAAACGCTGGACACGATGCCTATCCTAAGTGAGGTCTGTTGCAACCTATGCCTTCGTTCTACCGCAACTATTTGCAGCCGAATTTTTGGTGTCATGTTAGATGCCCACCGACTAAAAATGCTAGGGTCATGTTGAGAATTAGTCAAAGTGAGTCGGTTAAGAAACGTTGGCTCACTGTTGAATCTACGGTCCTAATACTGAGGCAATGGAAGCTGTTCGTTCTTTGATTTCACCAAGAGCGCTTACATTTTCATCCAAGGAACATGAAAATTTTCTGGCCTTGCTTGAGTGTTGATTGTCTGAGCTGTGTGTGGTTCTGCCCGTCTAGGCTGCGGAAAGCGTCAGGCCGTGGTCGCGCGGGCACGTGTACTCAACCCGTCAACCCGTTGAAGCTTGGCCGTCCTTGTTGACGGGAGTCAACTTCTGAACTTGTGATCATGGTTGAGATAGATACCTGGTTTTTACAATTTTCTTTTTCGGTCCTCTAGATTTCACTCTGTTTGCGTTTGGATTTCCGAGCTCTCCAACGAATGTGGAAAATGCGTTTTGATTGAATATATATCTCCTGGACCGTTCATCACCGGAAGCCACTAATATGAGGCACATTCACCAACCATCAACACCACGAGATTGATCACCACCACCATCATTGAACGGACTGCTAACAGAGTGCTGAGATTGAAAAGCTGACTACGCTGATTAACTTTCATGGTGAAATGAGACTGAGATACCTAGCCACCGATGTCTTCTAGTCTATAAAAGCCTCCAAGAATTAGTGGACATGCTATTGCCCAGATACTCGTTCCCCTGCGATCAAGATGGATGCCCCTAACAGTACGCCAGACCAGGAAAAAGAAGGAGAACAACAGCCCACTGCATTGCCAATCGTTTCTGAAAAAAGAATTCGCAGGAGGCTTCTGATCATGTCCCACCACTGGTAAGTAAAGCGGCTCAGCTTCCATTGCTCTTGCTGACCGCCACAGCTCTCTCCCTCGCAACAGGAAGCAGACACAAGACATACCTTGGCGACAGAGCCCTTTCAACCTATTTTGAAGATGCTAACAGACCTCGAACGCGACGATCCCAAGTTCGCCTTTCCAGCAGTCGAATTGTCGGACTCTATCGACGCCTATGGGAGTCGTGCGTGTCCAAACACATCGATGGCCAGAAGCTAGAGCAGAGCAATCAGATATTGAAAGAGGCTAGCACACACCTGCTTAAAGCGAGGGACGGTCTTCAGCTTCGCCACGACAAGCAGCTGTCTCGGCTGCGCTTCTTCGAGCAGGCTCTGGAATCATCTCGGGGTCGACTGACTTGCGTACTGAACGACTGTAACCTCCCTCCCAGACTCAATCTACCATGGTTCTTGGACGACGCAAGAGGGTGAAGGATTGTATATTCTTCATTGTGCTATGTCTTACTTTCCCAGCTTGCATAGTACAACGAGTTGAAATTGGAAGGGAACTACCGCATGTAACAGAAGCTTAAAACCTTCTGAGTGATTACAGTAAGAAAAGCATAGAATATTTTTTGTGGAATGGATTTGCGAATGATCCCGCATGTTCTGGTACAATCTCAGTTGTAAATCATGATACGTGCGGGGTGACTTTGAATGGCTACTGATGTTTGACTAAAGACGTATGTGCACAAAGCCTTATGCTATCATTGTTTCGAGTGCCCTCACAGGCTACCACACAAGGCGAGAATAGACTGTCAGGAATATACATGAAGCATCCAGGTAAAATTGGAAATACTATCAGTGGGATCCCTGCACGCAAGGAAGCTACCTTTCTTGTGCTTCCCCGCGCTACGTCTTGTATCCAAGGTCGACCATAGTTGTCTTGGATAGTGATCTTTTGATTCCGATATACTATTCACCTATGTATACGTGAGACCCTGATTAAGATCCACCCAGGAGCTGCTGTGTCACTTGATCCGTATTCAACGAAAGTCCTAAATTCGTACTTCACAGGGGAATTCTGGTTTATTGCGTGGATTTGTTTGTATTTAGTCAGTGCCCCCAGTGTTTTAACGCCGTCCTATTCACCACACTGAACTCTAGCCGGTATCTTCTCGTAATCATTTCGCGTGTCACTAGTACTTCATCATGTCCTAATTGTTTTATAGCGGCCCGGAGACGTCTTTCCAAACCCTCATGTCTATTCGAAAGGTCTTGCAATATCGGATCATCACTCAAACCGCGCCTCCGAGAAATCTCTTCCGGTAAGGGCTCACCCGGACTGGTGAAGAGTTCCAAAATATGCTTTCCGACCCTTATACCAACAATATCATCGAGTCTTGATGAAGTCCGATTGCTTCCATACCGAACGCAATTTCGGAGACTTCCGCCATATTCCAATCACGAAGTCGTAGAAATCCTCCAAGCCCCCTAAAAGGCTAGATACCACCTTAAAAGCATTATACTAAAATGAAAAATACATATAGGCCATGGTTGTTGAGATATAAAGCTGTAATATATCGCTTTTACTATGGTGTTTTGCAGTGGGCGGCTCGCTTGGGTGGGCGGCTCGCATGTGAAATACGTTAGCGAGAAATAGGTGTAATAGAAATACAGAGTCATTGACTTCTCCAATTGGCCGGATACAGGACAAATCGCGACATCAGTCAGCGTGAATCCTTGCTCAAAAAGAGTATAGTTCAGGAGAAACCTTTCCATTTAAATAGGGTCTCTTTCTCATTGAGAAAGAGACCAGACGTAAAACACCTCTCTGGAATAGACTACTTGCAGGCTTCAATCTTCTTCTATTAGGAGACATCGTAAATCTTAACAAATTCTTTTCCTAAATTCGTCCCCTAACAGCGAAACCACCACCAATTGCACCTCACACAAAACAGCATATATCTACCTACGCACCCAAAACCTTCCTCTAAAAGTCAGGCAGCAAGCTGGTGTGGTGACTGCGGTGGCCGTGATGGATGTGATGACCGAGATTCCCATGATGGGCTTTAGGAACTCCAGCACAGGCAGAGAATGCAGCCTCATCGGATAATTTGTCTGCAGGAATTCCAGTGGGAATGGCGGAGTGGACGGCATCTTCAAAGCCAGTATCGGCGCTGCCAGAGGCGGCGGGGACAACAGGAGCAGCGGAAGCGGCAGCAGAAACGATAGCAGAGGCGTTTGAAGCTTCGGACGAGGCAACTGACGAGACTTTGGGTGAAGCATCTGAGGAAGTACGAGATGAATCACCGGAGGCGGCAGGAACAGCAGCAGATGGGGCAGCAGGAGCCGCAGTAGAAGCGACCTCGATAGAGGCGCTAGCTGAGTCGTCAGAGGAGGTGCCAGAAGCGACGTTGGAAGAGGCGTCAACGGAGGCAGTAGCAGTGGCACCAGCAGCAGTAGTGGCAGCAGCAGCAGTAGTGGCACCAGCAGCAGTAGTGGCAGCAGCAGCAGTAGTGGCAGCAGCAGCAGTAGTGGCAGCAGCAGTAGTAGTGGCAGCAGCAGCAGTAGTGGCAGCAGCAGTAGTGGCAGCAGCAGTAGTGGCAGCAGCAGTAGTGGCAGCAGCAGTAGTGGCAGCAGCAGTAGTGGCAGCAGAAGAAGTATCAACCACCCCAAGACTCAAACAAGCAACACTAATCTTATTAGTGCCCGACGAAGAAGAGTCATCAACAGCCTGCGACAAATCCCAAGTCATACTAACATAAGGCCAGCAAACGCGGCCATCAGACATAGCCACCATATCACCAGCAACATAAACATCCTCACTAGAAATGGCCTCACCAACCTTCGCACCAGTCGAATCAACCTGCTGGAAGAAAGTACCAGCAAAAGTACCCCGGCATCCCATAGCAATAAAATCACAAGTAGGATTCGAGATCTCTTCCCAAGAAACAAGAGCATTGGCACTACCAAAGGTAGCAACATGCGCATTCGAGCAATCATTCGATCCACTCGTCACCCAATTTACCTGGCTATCACCATCCTCAGTACCAACAACAGAGGTAGCCTGGTCACCAACCTTAGTATACTTATCCGAGAACAACGAAATAGCAACATTGCGCCCATTCGTCCGGTTCTGCACATTCGTATATCCACTCCCCATCCACGCATTCTCAGTAACATCCATCGCGCCACGCGACACCCAAGCAAAGATATACTTCGTAGTCTCAGCAAAACGCGCAAGCGCACTGTAACTACCAGACATACCGCCCATAGCCTCACCACCGGCACCATTGGTGGTATTCTCGTTCGAGATCTTGACGCCGTCGGTGCTCATACCCTGAGTCTTGGTATTGAGCCAGATAGCGCCCTGGTCTTCGGCGCAGATACTAGCGAAGGGCGCTGTGTCCGCGGCCTCGAAAGCAAGACCCGTGTTGTGGCTGCAGCCCCAGGAGCTGGAGGCGCCGGCGATGGTTACCAGGGTTCCGTTTGTTGAGACGTATTCGATGCTATCGCCGAAGTGGCCTGAGGCGTCGCCTGAGTAGTCGGTTACCACGAAGTAGGCGCCGTAAAGGCCTGCTGTTTCGGAGTAGACCAGGTCGCCGTTTAGGTCCGGGGACGCCGAAAATCCATCTGAGGTGTGCACATCTGGTCCACCCAGCCAGGTCTTGAAGGTCTGCTTGCCGCTGGTGTAGCGGTACAGGACTGGGACTGGGGTGTCGCTTGGTGGGGCGTTGGTTGTTCCTGAGGGCATGATCTCGTTGGTTAGGAGGGCAAAGCCATCGTTGTGGGCGACGAGACCGCCGGCTGGGTTGGCGTTAGTTGATGGATTTGTTCAGGTGCGAGAGAGCTAGGGCTAGCATACCTTCCTTTCCGCCGCTAACGGTGACGGTGGTTCCGGTGGCTTTGAAGGTGCCAGGGTCCAATTGCTGGACGTGTACATCTGTCGCACTAGAATCAAGGTACGCGATGTATGCGGATTCTCCATCTGGCGAGACGGCGAATGGGGTACGTCGGTGATGAGGGTATCCAGTCCAGTACGATGCCTTAACGGGGTTGAAAGAATAGTCAAGCGCCAGCACGTCGACGTTAGTTTTGAGGTTAGACTTGAGGAGCGAAGCTGAGGCGCCCAGCGCCGAAAGCAGAGAAAGAACGAAAGTCCCACGCATGTTGGGGTGATAGTCGGTGGCGCTGCCTGTCGATTTTCCTGAATGTTGATGGATCTGCACAGGCTTAATATCGTGTCCAAATGAGTCACGGCTATTGAGATCCGGAGCTGTAATTTATCGCATTTTGCATTGTGTTTTGGGTTATCTCTCACTCTTCCGTGTTTCACCCTCCCGTGCTCCTCTGGATCGGTACGATATTTTAAAGGGCAAATGCGCCTCCAATCGAATACACTAACTGAAGACTAACGACCGCTAGATATAACCAAAGCCGAAGAAAGCAACGTGGGTCTGTGTAGGTGCTGTCGAAAATTGCAGAATAGGTATAAATGCAACGGTTCCACCTATATATCTCCTGACCATCTGATCCTTTCTACAAAAAAAACCTCTCAAAGATTCATGTATTCTGGTAACCCTAAAAGTCCAAGATATCCACAATGAGATTCACTCCTTCGGTTGCATTCTTGTCTGTTCTCTCGGCCGTCTTTCGCTATTGGGTATATCACCCTAACCCATTTTCATTCTCTATACACTCATAGAAATACCGGCCATTATGTTTCGGCTTGTGGGTCACGCCTAGACCTTTGCAGTCCTGCAAATTTCTTCTCTGGGCCACAAATAGAACCTCCTTAGTCTACTGTCCCGCGGGTCGTCGCTGGAACCTGCATCACAGAACCGTACCTGCATCAGTCTAAATTCACGCGTAGCCCAGCAAGTACTCGCCCCCGATTTCTGATGCGTGCCTAACATCATCCGAGTCGGCCTACTCAATCTTTATACTTGTACTCAGGCCGCCTACAAGTTTCTGTTTTATTCTGAGGATTTCATTTCTTGTCGTCTAGGACCAGTTCATGGCCTCATGGTTGTTGCTCAATCCTTGAGGTGCACAGTATCACGACGTTGAAAATCGACAAATGTAGTCATCGGTAGGCAATTCGTCTAGTATGTCTTCTCTTGTGCGTGCATGCACTTCCTCGAGGCTCTGATGACATCCCAGATACGGTGTATAGTATTTGTCACCAGTTTCACCATGACAGTAAATATTAGCTAACAAATAGTGAGCCACGGAAACTAACAGGCAATGAGGACTCTGTTGCTATAGCGTACTTGGAAGGGAATTGCTGTGTCCGCAAGGTCACTCACAACGTGCAGGCACCTCTTCGCGCCGCTAGGGTCTAGGATTCGAGTACTGTGAGAGTATTTGAAGAAGCCAAAACTTGCGCAACATCTTATCCACCAATTCCGTAATCGGATGGACCATCGTTGGATAGATAGGGTAAGCCCTAGAAAGATACTGTATTCACAAATTCAATAGCCATTGGGACCAGACACAGTGTCGCTCTTGCCGTCAAGCCTCTAACACCATACAAAAATGGCAAGGATTGGTTTCTGGCATCCGCCGCGTTGCTGTCCACCGTCTTTCACAGAATCGTGAATCTCTCCTCCGAATGAACCGCGTCGCGACTACATTCTCTCCCTGTATCCGTGGATTTTCGAGCGTGGAGAAGCTTCGCCACTTTTTAAAGTTCCTCGAGGATAGACTCCCAAAGTCAGAGAGCCGCCGAGCGCAGCCAAAACGAAACTTCAAACACCAAGCTTCTTTGCCAATACTGCGCCTCGAAGATCTAAAAGACCGATTTCTCTTGCTACCGAAACACACCCAGAGAGTTTTCCGCCGGATTGAGGCAATGTACAATTTGGAAATGGAATGGTTCATGCAAGCTGAATTCAGATGACATCCACCCACCGGTTTAAATCTCTTGATGTCGACATACGCAATTTTTTGGCATGTATCTCGTAATAAACAGCAGTGAAATGATTCAAAACAGTAAATGGCAGAGAATACTGTGCTTGATTGTGGACCGGCGATTGGAATCCCAGCATCGATCCAAGGGACAGCATATCAGGAGGTTCAAACTTTTGGCCCAGAGGAGAAATCACAATGATCTCTTAGTATCTCGCATAGACCGCTTGACGCCAGCACCGCTTCCGTGCCGGTCTAAAAGTACATGATCGTCATCCTGGAGGTGAGACTATGTGCATCGTGTCTGTGCCGCCAGGAAGCTGAGATACCGGCGAACAGAGCGTTCAATTTAGCAGGATTACATCGGCAGGAGCACTACATTGCGGTGAAGGAACAGTGGCCAACTATCTTGAAGAACTATTTCTGGTACATATTACTAGAATAAAGGCTGTGATTAGCAATGAAGCCTCAACATGAGAAATGTAAGCGTGGTTGTATATCATTCCATGTATTCCGTATAGAAAGGAGCAACCGCTCTTCTTTGGAATGACAACAATAAAGAGGAAGTCCCAAAGTTAAAGGATCCGAGAATGGCGGTGGTGCCCTTGGAACAGGCCCGCCTATACATCATCGCCCTTGTCATGCTAACCAGGAGCATGTCATCAGAATCCTACGCGGCCGCGAAATACTGCGGACAGTGCGTAAGAATTCACAATACTATGAGTGTTCCCGTAGGGATATAGGACATAGTAACAAGGGGGCTCTAGAAAAATGAAAATATCTGACATTCTGGTTGGCTCAAGGTAATACGTCTTCTTGGATTTGGTTGGATCGATGGTCGAAAGCGGAGCGTGTTAGAATGAAGCGAACGCGTTGTTCACCTACAGTCTGGCATACAACTCACTTTTGTCCAATAGTTAAGAAAAATGCCTAGCCGGCAGTCTACCAGACTGCAGCTGGCCCGTGGAATTGAGTCACAGTAGTCCAAAAGTGAACACAAGCAACAATGTTTGAAAACGAAGAAATAAACCAAGTACATGAATGGCTGTCCTTATATCCTTCACTTCCTTCTCCTTGGTATATCCCCGAGGGGCAAATACTGAAGCCACTGTATACTTCCAGATATACACCCGTGGAGTAGATCCGGAGTCATGATCACGCGACGTATACCAGCCGTTTGGGCGTCATGTGGAGCATTATAGAAATTTTTCGAACTTCTCAACAACACGCAGAGCAGCATACCATGGTATGGTTGTGCATCTATGCGCATGAACTCCGATCGTCCGTGTCGTCAATAGCAGGGGAAGGTATTATCTCCTAAGTAGCGTCGCAGCAGTGAGACATCACCTCTCGTGAATTATCAGCGATCACCTTCGTGATATCATCGTGCCTATCTGCATTGGAGTGTCAGCTACGTTTAGCTGAAACAGGTGCAGGTGTGTTTCGTGAGCCTCACAGGATGCAGGGTCTAAGCAATTTAGCCGCGCGATACCCGGAGTCAGCTTATCCCCATCATAGCTGGTGGGCGGGATAATGTGCAACCAGGGGGAAATGAGGAGTGATTGCATCTATATCATGTCGTAATGCTAGTTCTGTAATATCAATGTACGAGCGCAGTCGGTTTATCACTCTGGACGGGCGTTCTGAAAGTTCCTTATATGTCCAGCCATATGCTATGAAACCCCGAAGAATCAATGCTGTGGCCACCTTATCTAGTGAGCAAGCTTTCTCCAGAATTCCAGGCTGCTGCAACCTGAGGTACTCCAATAGAAGTGATACGTCTCCCTTACTTAGTTTTCTCTCCCACCTATTTCAATCTAGTCAGTTTCTTGCAAACGTATGGAAGGCATACTAACACACTTACACTGTGTTTACCTGGCTACCGAGCATGAGCAATAGCCCAGGGCCAGCATCCATGAGAATTTGCATGTATCGTTGGCCAGCCTTACGATCGGCTTTCACAGCGTTTATGGAGGCTGATATGCTCGCTGCCTGCAAAGACAGAGCTGCAGACTTTCTGCCACGGCCACGGGATAAGCGGAGAAGGTCAGAGGTGGCCAACTGTTCAAGATCATGTTCCAAGAATATGTGACAGAGGCGACTGGCACAGCATAATCATCGCGGCCACGCTTCACCCGAAGAAAACCATGGAACAGTCGCTGAAAGCGAGCCACTGGACCTGTACCGCTGCCGGAGAAAATCCTTTCCCCTGTGGACCAAAGGTTCGCGTACCTTGCTCCATCAAGTTCCATGGCACTGATTAAACCCTGGAGCGCTCGGGCTAGATAAGTTGTCCTTGAATTTCGAGATCCCAATCTGGCCCTGAAGAAAGCCGCCGCATTCGTATCTTTCTCCAGAGGAGCATAGGCCGCATCAGTAAAGCCAGTTTCAATCACCCTGTCTGGCCGAGAGGAAACGGACGAAGGCAATTTGGAAGCAACCATCGACAAGCTGGTTGTGTCTAATGCCTCTGGAGTGGAAGGGAAACAAGTGCATTGTTCCGGACCAACTACAACAGGGCTTGATGCAGCTTCAGCTATAAAGGGGGTGATATCAAGCGAAGAACTTTGTTGACAAGGTTCTATAGACATTTCTCCTTCCACGTCCATGGTAGCTGCCCCTTCCTCGGATGATGGCGAGCTGAAGAGGATCTGTCGTTCGATTTCTGTGTATCGGAAGACAAAGCCGCGAAAGCACCCAAGTAGACCCTTATAACGCCGTTCAGATTTAGGAAATAAACAATGAGCGTGCCATACTCACCGGTGAGTCGACAATAAGAGTCGGAGAAAGCGTCCCGAGTATCCGGGCTATAAGTTGCCCGTTGGTTTCATAATCCATCAGAATTGAGTACCTGCTAGGCCGTACAAAACAAATTCAGCGGGGTGGAAAAAAAGCCGGAGAGATAACCAGAGCAGCAAAGTCCGTTTTTATAATTTTTTTTGAACTGAATTATTCGTCCAAGTTTGAGAGACAATGATATTGAGTGAGGGAGGTATAATTCCTGACCAAGTTAACCGCGTTGCTCTGTATTTATTTACCCCGCTATCCCAGATCAATGTGAAACCTATATAAATGCACTTGTGGAGTTGCAGCTTTGATTGGAGCTGACAGGTTGCTTTAGTTAAATTAAAGTGCTGGTATTCAAACCTTCCCGCCACATTCGGTGGGATCAAGCCATGTGGAGCTCTAACATAGAGTTTCTAGTATTGCGCCCTGCTGTCTGCAGAAAACGCGGAATTTATGAGTGGAACTGACTAGCCGGTCAAGCTAACGTGCGTATAAAGACAATAGTAAAATAAGTTATTGTTCCACAAATGCTACGCTAACTGCGTTCCTTCGGTGAAATATAAAGTTTGGTTCGTAAGGCCCCGTTAAGGAGGCTGAGGAAATTATTCGGGATTCGGAAGTGAAACGCAGCCGAGACTTCCGGCTACTGCGCACCGCCGTTACTACCGAGTCATCATCTGTCAATGGAATGGGTCAAAACCCTCGGCGCAATGGCAGATTCTGTTCAATCTTTCCAACCGGCGTCTAACCAGGCAGAGTTGCTCTGGATGTCTGAACAAGCGACTTCGATTTTTCGAAGCTCCCGCTTGCTTTGTAGCGATATTGCCTATCGAGAAGCACAATCCAATAGGCTAAGTAGATCCAGGGTATAACGAAGAATTATGGCTTCCAGCTTCAACAGTAGGTTAGGGTTCCACACCGCCTGTGGCCAAAGACAATTATTACCCGTGGCCCAGCGACGGGTGTTTCGCTTTCTCTAAAGTGATACTCTTCTAGAGTGAGCTGCAAATTTCCAGTGTAGACACAAGAACGAGCCTACCTCTAATGTACTGCGGTTAGCCGGGGCAGAGTAGTATACATTAGTGCTGCATTAGTAGCCGTGCCATTCGATCCGCCCACATCATGAACTCGAACGCCCCGTATGCGATCTCTGCGACGGATCGAACCAGCCTGATCGTTATAGTCGAGACTCTTTTTATGTCTTGGATAATCCTAGTGGGCTTGATTCGACTATATATGCGCCTCACGATCAATGGACCGGTGCAGGTTGATAATGTGGTGGTGCTTGCCGGAAGTGTAAGTATACCTACCTCGCCGTTCTTCCTCAGCACCTCCTTTATTTGAAAAAGGTAAATTACTCTGATGATTTTTGGGTTCAAGAGACGGCATGATGATTTTTGTGCTCATATAGACTGAGTCCAAGTGCGAGGAATGACTATCGATCTTGGAGACTAAACTGATCATGATCTCCCTGCGCGTGCGGGACCCAAGATTTAGTCAGAAAATTCTTGGGTCCCGTTGAGCCGGAACCCGCGAACGGGTCTCTTTTCGGCATTCGTCCATATGATTATGTCCTGGATTATGATTTCAGAGTATTGCGATTTGCAAGTCAATTTAGGGTGAGGTTAACAGATAATAGTCCTATCACTAGTGGTAGGCAGAGAATGCATTGTCTTCGATAGAAAGATGCTCTTCAGAATGGAAGAAGAATTATTAATAACGGGTACAAGAGAAGAGAGAAACAGAAAGAATATGTATAGCGACGCAAAAAAATCTATTAAGCAGTGTCTGGCCAAGGAAGCGCCAGTTCACCTCTTAATAGGCTCTGGGGGAGTGGCCGAAACAGACAGTCGGGACAACCTCTGCCCGCCCCTCAGTACGAATTCCACACCCTAATATAATCAACCTCCATCTGAACAGCCTCGCCATCCAGAGTAGTGGCATTGGGTTGACCAGGCCAATTCCCACCCACGGCAACGTTAAGCAGCAAGAAGTGGCCCTTGTGTGCAATTGCCTCCCACGTAGCCGAATCATTGAATCTGGACCCTGATATCTCAAAGGTTTTCTTTCCATCAAGATACCATGACAATGTTTCCTTTTTCCACGTGTTTTTCCCCATATGTTTTCCAGCAGCCGTACGTCGGTCAACCTGAAAGCCAACAGTATGCCAGTCACAGCCCGTCCATGCCACACCACCATTTCCAATCCCATTATATTCGTTGCAGGGCCCTCCTGGTGCATACCCACAATGAAGTGTACTATACACCGTTGGCAAGCCGTTCACAACTTCCAAGATATCCCACTCCGACACATTAGGCCAACCAGAATAGCTTGGTCTAAAGTCAGTTCCTAGAGCCCAGAATGCAGGCCAGATCCCTTGTTGTCTGTCACTGGGAGCACAGCCCGTTCTCAGCCTGCTCTCAATATAGAGTTTACCACCTGGTGGAGCTGCAAAGTCTGAGCGTCGAGTTTCAATTCGCGCAGACGTCCATGTACCGTTGGATGACAAACGTGGTGTGATTGCAAGAGTACCGAAAGGAGTGACATGTGTATTTGCAGGGGAGTTTGTGTATATCTCAGCCTCATTATTTCCCCAATTTTGGGGAGCGTCAACAGTTGGGTACTTGGTCCCTAGGTCAAAGACCCACTTCTCAGACGAGGGCAAGCTGTATGGATGATATTCGAATTCATCGTGCCAGGTCAACTGATAATCGACAAGTTCAAGTGATATTGCAAGGCTAGGCAACAGAGGGCTGCCTTCCTCAACTGCATGGTGATGGCGATGAGAGAACGCCTTTCGGGCTGCTGTGGCACCGAGAAATAAATAGAAGACACTAATGAACGGCAACATGTTTCAAAAGAATGACAAGATAAGGAGTGACGAATGGTTTTGATAAAAGAAAAGACAACTGTAAGGCAGGCTGAAGAGGCGATGGAGCAGTCTAGAAAGCGGCTGGGTCACGCCCTAATATATATCTGAGGTAGTTAAAAAAATTCCATCGTGCTCATTGAATAAATGAGCATTTCGAAAGAAGATCTGATCTTCATATTGAAACTCCGGAATCCTTGCAATTTTGCTGGCACCACATGTTGGTCTAATTAGCCTGATTTAAACTTTCTCTATCATTTAGGTGCATGTCTGGGGAGGTAAATTTTGGTTGACACTGTCAGATGGTGGGTTTGATTAAGTGACACAATGTAAGCCTATATATAGAACATAGTCAAACCAATATAGTGCAGGCGTATCAGTACCCAGCTCCAACAAGAACAACTATCTCGGAATACGAAAGTTTGAAGTGGGGGAGAAACGAATTTAGGTTCTCCCCTGAATTTCCGCTTTTTGACTGTTCAGAAACTGGGAGTGGTCAGTATGAGAAAGGGGAAATATTCTTGCAACCCCACTAAGAAAGCCGGGGCTCTTTATTGGACCAGATGCACGGAGTATCCAGGTCCCAATTTACACTCCAATCGAAAGGGAATGATAACTGAGAGCAGTTGTTCAGGCACGTTCTCTCCCGGCATGTGACGGAAGTCAATTGGAAATTTCAAACTTTAAGACTGAGTTAAACCATTTCCGGTCGTAAAGGCGATCCGATGGAGGAACCCGCGCGTTAATGGTGAAAAATACTTTCCTCTCCCTACGATTTTATAATTTAATTGCGGCCAGATCGGACGATTTTGGGAGCGGTGGCTGACTCGAATTGGATAATGGTATGCTTGGCGGGGTTGAAAATTGCTAGGTGGCGCTGTCAATACCCAAGACCGCCACACGACAGGGAATATGGCATCCGATAAAATTATTACCATTGTAGCTGTATTTATTTGTAATTCTTACACTGTACCGTTGAGCTGGAACTCTAACTATTCTCATTGGTGACTTGAGGAGTAACTCTGCAGTTTGGAAGCCAGATTCATAGAAATTGTCCTGTTCCTTGTGTGATACGACGAAGTCCGGAACGCAATTTCTAGATGCCAATCCGGCCCCTGGCCCGAGTACTTGGTGCTAGGGGGAAACACGTACACGGTAGAAAGAGGGAAACAGCTCGTTTGGAAAATTAAGCTTTTGATGAATGGCAGCGCTGCGGCCCGAGCGGCCGGCGCATCCTTGGCCTGTCGCGTCCTTTCTACACTGTAAACTCTCAGCACTCTCAACTCTGGCTGCCGCCCAAGTATACACGCACTGCCCTCCGTGCTATTGGCCGCTACTCCTTCAGAGATAAATGGAGTTTCTCGGCGCCGTTTTCGTTCCGTCTCTTTTTTCTCCTTTGCCTTTTCCTTCCCACAGGTCGCTCGCTACACTCGAAGCATTTCTGCTGATGCCTTTAAGTTTTTCGTTCCACTTTGGCCGTTCTTTGACAACTGTGGACAATATTCAGGCTTATACTACCGCTGCGTTTCGGAATAGGCCGGGACAATGACAAAATGACAGATAATGTTCCTCTTAATCTGGCAATGAAACTTAAGTAATTTGGACAGATACTCCTAAGACCACCATCTAGCTCTCATCTATGCATCAGGTCAGGCCGCCACTTAGAGCTAAGCTCGGCATATTCAACGAATAGCTGCGTGCTTCTATCTACAAGTTGTCAGCGAGTACGTCTAGTATGCGACCGCCAACCCAGCGTTCGCCGCGGACCGATCCACAACCCCTCTTTCTCACCGCGTGGAAAGGCTTGCCAAAGCTTGGCATCATCAATTTTATTCCGAAAGCGACTCAGCCAGATGCAATTGCCATTCGAGGATACCCGGAGACTGCGTGGGAAAAACAAAAGGGTACCAAAGGTTGGAAGTGTACAGTGACACCTCGTAAGTTCTAACAACACCCCGGCCCCATCAAAATATCTCCAATTTTCAATGCCCTTTTCTCTTGAATGAACTCGAAGAACGTTACCGGCGGATGGAACTCGCCACGTCCTGCGAGCTGTTCGCCCAGCTTCGCGAAACCACTGGCGAGCGCTGCGGCAGTGCGCGCGAATTCGTTGATCATGTACGGTTGCTGGTACATCGATAGAATGCCATCGCGCCCGGATCGATTGGCGATCGAACGCACATTGCGATCTCACTGACGCAGGTCGGACCGGAATATATTCTAGTTGTGGATGCCATTCAGAATGACAAGGATCCGGTGAGTCCGACCGCGATCGGAAACCGTCTGTCTAATGCCGAACAGATGGTTCGGAGGAAAGAGTCTCTAACACCCTTGCAGGCAGCGTCTGGCCCGTCCGTCCATACGGTGCAGCAGACTGCCAAGAAATGCAACTATTGCAAGAAGCGCCGCCATGTGGCCGCGCAGTGCTGGAAGAAACAGCGAGAAGTACAGCCGTCCAGGGACCATGCCATGAAGGCTGAACGGAGTGTTTCCGGCTCGCCAAGAAACAATTTACAAAATATACCATCAAGCCAGATGGGAGATTGGCAGGGCCCACCGACTTCATGAGACCGAGGATCAATATCGTGAGGGCGAGGGTGACGACCCTTTATACCCACGCACCGCAACTCCGGTGGATCCTGGACTGGGCCGCCACCAGCCACATCTGCTGGGACCGGGGCTGCTTCAGTAGTCTGCGGCCCTACCGCGAGATGCTGGACACGGCGGGCGATCCAGTGGAGCCGAAGGGATTGGTACGGTGAAGCTCACGCCGCGGGGGAAGTGCAACCAACCCCTGGTGTTAAAGAATGTGTACTTCGCGCCACGCGTCGGGATGAACCTGATCAGCGTGCCGAAGCTGTTGCGAGGCCGCTACTCGGTGGTGGCGCACCCACAGAACGTCTTTGCGCAACGCCGAGGACGGACGGTGGGGACCGCTTACCACGCGGAGGAGGATCTCCTGATCCTGCGGTGCCATGTGAGCAAAAGGTCTCGAGAGCGAGTCCAACTGGCGAGGGCGCCGACGACCCATGACCATGCAGACTCCCTGGAACCGCAGGCGGTGGTCATGGACGTCAACGAGCCTCGGGAGTTAAGTGACGCAGAATGCGCTACGTCAACCTCTGAACTCGGTAGTGCAGCTGTGATACTCGAAGAAGATGCGTGCAAAGGAGTGGACCAGGCCTCCGAAGCGTTGTGGCACGCTCGGATGGGACATCTGAACCGGGGAGACTTGAGGGAGGTCCTCCGGCAGACCGCCACCCCGTACCGCCTGCTGACCCAGGCGCAGCTGCTGGAACGCTGCAGTGCCCGGCGTGCATGTCGGGTAAGCAGCATCAGAAGAGGAACTCCCTGCAAGGCGGCCACGTCTGCACTCATCGAGAATGTTTGAAAGGATCCATTCGGACATTATGGAAATGCCGATTGCCAAAGAGGGCTCCAGGTACGTGACCACTTTTACTGACGATTATTATCGTGGCTCGTGGGCATATATATGCCATGAGATGGAAGCATGAAGCGCTCCAGAAGTTCCGCCAATTTGAGGCCTGGGTGCATGAAGGCGCTGAGGTGGAGGGCGTAAGACGCGATGGAGCGCGTCGGCCCCTTGGTCTTATCTGACTCGGCGGGCATAGGTTACTCGCCACAACAGTTTTCGAGGTTGGTGATGGGCTGCTCCTACAACGGCATGAAGATGTCAGTGGTTTTTGTGTTTGGGACACAGACTTGGCACAGATTATCGGACCCGGCGCAGCAGGAGGCGTGACATTGCACTCACCTCATCGTGCACAACGAACGTCTAGGGCTTATGCATCCTGCTGTTAGCCCGCGGCCTTTGTCTGCAGTATTTCACGTAGGACATGTTGCATGGTTTGAAGCGACAGGGCAAGAAATGGTGTGTAAGCCATGACTCTGCGTGGAGCACTGACGGAGTGCTGGTTCGGGCTCACTTTGGTGCGCTGTCAACGGGTTCCTGTCCATCATTAGCTTTTTGGTCGGCGAGACAATGAGTGACTTACCTGTTCTGAAAGAAGACACCGGAAAGGGTCCGTGGCTTTGCGCGCAATGGACGGAACGCATGGATAGTTCTTTCGCATCGTCTTTGAAGTCAGTCCAGTTTCGGAAGGGTCGCGTTGAAATCGAAATACCTGTGCGAAAACCTCTTTTGCATCGATATATTCAGGGGCGGGACAATGGTCGGCTGCTATGGTGGACAGATGTTCGCATAGCTGCTTTGACCAGCTAACCCCAATCTGCTTCTTGATCGGCTGGCATGGGTGGCATAGTGGACCTGATGGGAATCTCATTCTCACAGGCACTTTCTAGCTTGTCGGCCCACGATGTATCCATAGATGTCAGTACAGTGGAAATTCCAGTAGGGTTGAAGGGAAGAACTTATCAATTTCCTCACACGCAAGGCCTGCTCGACTTTGCATGGCCAAGTGATGGAATTGTAGAACAAACCTCGTGGGGAGAGGACGTATTTATAGGCTTCTCAGCTCCTGTCGCGTACGTGCTCTGCTAGGTGGCAAACGTTGAAAGACACAATGCCTATCCTAAGTGAGGTCTGTTGTAACATATACCGCAACTATTTGCAGCAAATTTCTTGGTGTGGCTTTAGATGCTCACCGAGAAAACATGCTAGAGTCAAGAAGAGAGTGAGTCAAAGTGAGTCGGTTAAGAAACGTTGGGTCACTGTTGAATCTACGGTCTTAATATTGAGGCAACGGAAGCTGTTCATTCTTTGATCTTACAAAGAGCGCTCACATTCTTATCTAAGGAGCATGGAAATTTCCTGGCCTCGCTTGAGTGTTGATTGTCTGAGCTGTGTGTGGTTCTGTTCGTCTAGGCTGCAGAAAGCGTCAGGCCACGGTCGTGCCCGGGCGCGGGTACGTACTCGATCCGTCAACCCGTTGAAGCTTGGCCGTCCTTGGTGACGAGAGTCAACTTTTGAACTTGTGATCATGGTTGAGATGGATATGTTTTTTCGATTTTCTTTTTCAATCCTCTAGGTTTTACTCTATTTACTTTTGGAATTTCTGAGCTCTCAAACGAATGTGGAAAATGCGTTGTGATTGAATATATATCTCCCGGTCCGTTCATCACCGGAAGCCACTAATATGAGGCACGTTCACCAACCATCAACACCACGAGATTCACACCCACCATCATTGAACGGTCTCAAACAGAGCCCCGAAAAATTTTTGGGTTCCAGGCAAAGTCAGACTGTGTCAATTGATTTTCATGGTGAAAGTGAGAATGAGTAACCACCTACGTCTTCTAGTCGATAAAATCCTCCAAGAATTGTTGGACACGCTATTGCCCAGACACTCGACTATTCCCTACGATCAAGATGGTTGCTCCTAACAGCACGCCAGACCAGGAAGCAGAAGGAGAACAACAGTCTAGTGCGTTGCCAATCGTTTGTGGAAAAGAAAATTCGCAGGAAACTTCCGATAATGCACCAATGGTAAGTGGAACGACTCAGCTTCGAATGCTCTTGCTGACCATTACAGCTCTCCCCTCGCAACAGGAAGCAGAAATAAGACATACGTGGGCGATCGAGCCTTTTCGACCTATTTTAAAAGTGCTAGAAGACCTCGAACGCGACGATCCCAAATTCGCCTTTCCTGCGGCTCGACTTGTCGCGCTCTATCGACGCCTATGGGATTCGTGCGTGTCCAATCACATCGATGGCCAGAAGCTAGACCAGCGCAATCGTATCTTGGAGGAGGCTAGCAGACACCTGACTAAAGAGAGGGACGGACTTCAGCTGCGTCACGACAAAGCAGCTGTCTCGGCTGCGCTTTTTCGAGCAGGCACTAGAATCATCTCGGGGTCGACTGACTCGCGTACTCGATGACTGGGATCACCCTTCCAGACTCAATCTACACGAGTTCTTGGACAACGCAAGAGACGAGTGAAGCATTGCATGTTCATATTTGTCATATGTCTTTCACAACGTGGAAAATAACCTTTTCACAATGAAGAGGATTAGCGCATGCCAGCTTATGTCTTTTTAGTTTTCACATTAAGAAGGCATATGATAGCCTTTGCGGAGTGTGTCAGCGGATAGTCCGGCCTGTTCTAGGTTCTATTAATTCAATATATTATAGACAAAAATACGGATCCAGTGACAATGTGGGCAGTATAGCTAGCGGAGGAAGCGTCGAATGAATCGGCCGTCTCGCATTGCATTGAAAGAGCTACTTGGGTAGAAGTCGCCAGCCCTAACAGACCACCCAACCTTCCCCTTGGAGACCGCTTCAACAATCTTTGTGGAGTGACGTCTTCCATTCTGCTTCGAATGGCCCTCTGAATGCAATCGTTCCTTGCTAGATCCAGCGATCTCTTCAGGCTGAAGTAATTCAGTCCGGGATTGACCACAAGCGCATCAACAATCGGGAAAAAATGTCCACCCTTGACTGCCAACATCAATGGACCCTCAGAATATCGATTTCTGACGCTTACATCAATTCGATCATAGCGTAGCAGCGCCTGGACCATCTCTAAGTCACCGCCACGGGCAGCCATGCAGAGAGCAGTGTCGTGAGTTGCGATCGTGCTTTCATTGATGTTCAGACGTGCGTCTTGTTGCACTAAAAGTCGTACCACATCGAGATGGCCATGTGCAACCGCTCGACAAATAGGCGGATCTATTAAATCCATTCCATTAATGTCTACGCCCACTATACTCAGTAGACAAGCAACCGTGTCCACACTTCCGTGCGATGCGGCAGCAGACATTGGAGAGTGGCCTGCAACACAGTGATTGAGATCTATTCCTGGCACCGCAAGCAGCTGCCGTAAAACTGCAGTGTCCAATCTGGCTGCCGCGTGATGAAGCGATGTAGAAGGCCCCTCGCGCCTCCCGTAGCCTCCGACGAAGTTGACATCGATGCCGTTCTCGGCCAGTAGCCTTTCGGTTATCTCGTCGTATGACAAGTACGTTGACAGCTAAAGAGGCGTATTGCCTTCTTTGTCTTTGTAGTCCACATTGGCACGAGAGTAACTCAGGAGCATATTGACCACTTCGAGGCGTCTGCTATGGACGGCGTGATGGAGCGGCGTATCACCATTCGGGTCGTGAGCGTCCAAGTTCAGACCTTTTTCTCCGAGAAGCCGTTTGACAACATCTACTGACCCATAGGCCACTGCTTGGTGAAGAGGTAGCTCAGCCTCTTGTGATGATTTGGTACCAAGAAACACCTTGGCCATCGGATCGTTTGAAAAAATCATTTCCATCACGGGTCTATTGAAGCGACATGCCCAGTCCCATGGCGAGTGGCCCGAATCGTCCTGTAGATCAGGGTCGCTGCCAATAGAAAGTAGCAGATGCACGAGCCCTATTCGGCCTGCGAAGACTGCTAGGTGGAGCGCCGTTCGGCCGTGTTTGTGCTTGATGTCCACCTGGACGTTGGGTTGTTCTAGAACGCGCTTGACGGTGGAAAAAGTTCCGTAGTGGATGGCATACCACAGGGCGCTCTCCCGTGCTTGATTTTGAATGTTGATGTCTAGATCTCGACGATTGAGCAAGAGGTCACGCACAGCAGCGGAAGAGTATTTGAGCGCCCTCATTAAAGGAGTTTTGCCTCGGTAAAATGCATTGACGTTGGCGTTGCGCTGGAGCAAAGCCTCCGCAAGACCAATGTTGTCGTATTTGACGGCCAAGTGCAAAAGATTGCTGTTCTGAAATTTGATGTTGTATTTCCAGATGCTGGGCTGCAGTTTAAAATCAAAGTCTTTGCATGATTTTGCGAGGGCAAATAATGCACTACCGTCCAAATACGACACAATCCACAGCAAAAGCTCGTTGGGCAGGTCCCTGATGTTTGGCTGTAATGTATTAGCTCATCGGTAAACTCCGTAAGAACGAATTGAACAGACCATGATGGGACAGCGGATTGAGCTAACGAAATGTAGATGGGGGTGAGTTGAGAGTTGTGAAAGTAGGATATGGGAGGCCTTTATATACTCACCTCAGCCAAATTCCATGGTCAGCTAGGAGTGTAGTCTGTCACTCCGCTGAGAGGTGCGTAGCAATCAGACGGCAGCATCAAAGCCTTGACAACAATGTTCAGGCGGAGTTGGAGAATCTGTGGGATCTAGCTCCTGGGAAAGCCAAAACTGTTCCTGTGGTGTGTCGATGGCCAGTGAACCGAATCTATCTCTACGTATCCACATCTTGCATCTAGCACCATAAGAACAAATCACAACCTATCACGCACTTCGAAACTCATAGGCAACCCAGAATCTAACGCAGCATTTGTCGACTTCGCTGCCTACCGCAGTAGCCAATCTGTTCGCCAATGTATGGTCACCGCGATGGATAGTCAAAAGTGCAGCTGATTGCAGCAGTGGTCTGGAATGATATCCCTTCATGCAGGCCACTGACCGGCTGTATACGGCGCA